TGGCTGCTGGCCGCCATCTTGGTTGGGTTAATTTGCATATAGTCGCTCTGATTGGCTGGTGGGCGTGGCTTAAGGCATAGCAAAGGTGCGGTCAATTTGCATGTTTGTCTTTTATTAGTGTAGATATATATATGATAAAATACAATTCTGTGGTGAGAATGCAATGGACATTTGATTTCAAGGAAAAAACAATAAATTTTCTTTAGATTAAAGAAAAATATACACTTATTTTGTTGTGTTATGTGTTTAATGATTGATGGTAAATCCAATGAACGTCTTTAAAAGTGTACTTTTAAAAAAAAGTTTTATTATTTTGTGTGAGAAAAGATATGGAATTTGCTTGCTCAACTAATATGACCTACAAACCCATATTCCTTGCCTTGTGGCAATTTTGGGAACATGTATTTTAGAGCACTTCTAGAAATAAAAAGAAACAAAAACCTACTCTTGCCACTGGGGCGGGGGGGAAGAGGGGGAAATGGCTTGTAAATTCTAGATGTGGTGTTTCATGTTTATGTAGGAGTATCGTATTTGTCCAGATGTTATTTGTATATATAGAGTAATTGGAAATAGGTGCTAAACTATATATATGGGATGTTGCTTCTAAAATATATTTAAGAAGAGTATATAGATGCAGGCTATGTGGTGAAAATTAGAACAACATCCCTCATGTATCTTTTATATTAATAAAAGAAGTTGATATCATGTTAAACAGGACTGTGTTGTTACTGGAATTGCTGCCATTGGAGGATGTGGCTGTGGAGTTAAGTTGGGAGGAGTCCCAGCTCCTGAGCCCTGCTCACAAAGACCTGTATTGGGACATGACGTTGGAGAACTCTGTCAATCTTTTTTCACTGGGTAAGGAGAGCTCCCTGTGTCATTTAGAGGTGCCGGGTCACTGGCCTTTGCTCTAACATTTTCTGAAAGTTTTGCAGTCACTGTGGTCATCTGAAGGTCGAGACTTTCAGCCCCCGCTCTGGCCCCTAACAAAAGGGTATAATGTCCTCTATCCTGAAGGAGAAGTTTTACTTTGCATACGAGAAATTCTTTTGTCTCTAAAATGTCATGTTTCCCATCTTCACATCCTACAAGTCACCATATCTAGGTCTTCTATGAACAGGGTATCACACTACCAGACTAGATGCGCTGTCCAAGTTGCAACATGGAGAACAACCATGGATAATAAAGAATGAAATCTATACTAGAAGCAGTCCAGGTGAGTGAGTGAGAACCAGCAAGAGAGTGGCCATAGGAGTCATATTCTAGTCATTAAGGGATGGTGTCTGCCCTGGCTACTTGGTTGGACATTGTCCCTTGTACCAAAAGTTGCCAGTTCAATTCTGGGTCAGGGCATATGCCTGAATTGTGGGCTTGATCCTCAGTTGGGGGTGTACAGGAGGCACCCAATTGATGTTTCACTCTCATATCAATGTCTCTCTCTCTCTCTGTCCC